AACTATAAATATGAACTGAAGAAACTAAAGAAAACTTGAGAGTACGTGATCTCCTAAACTAACACTTATGTATAAACCAGAACCTCATTTGTTGATTTTTTCTACCAAAGTGTATAGTAAATTCATATAAAGTTTCAGGATAGGATTAGATTTGGCCTTAACCTTATCCTCCTAAAAACACTTTATTGACACGATACATAACAAGGAAATTAAAGAAATAATAAGGATTCTCATTTACCAAATGCAGTGGTTCCCCAGTCCTTAATCGTGCATTTGGGCGAGCAAGCTTGGATTCAAACGGAGTCCTTGGCCGCACTTCTTGAATTTCGTCCCACTCCTCTCGACTGAGCATCCTCACTGTTCCCTGACCAGCAGGAGCGTTCTTTATCTTTCGCTCTATCGTTTCCTGGGACTTCGACTCATCATACTGCAACCATACAAAAATTACACACATGAATTTCATTTAGTTCAAATATGAGGGAAAAACACTTTTGATACCAAACTTTAGTCTAAAAAACACATTTGGTACCAAGCTTTTTGAAAAAACACATTTCATATCATGATTCACACCCTCTTGACACATTTAGTTTTGCCGTCAATTTTCGGACGAAATTCAGCACGTGCCGCTCACGTGCTCGTTAAATTGACTACGGAAGGTAAAATATGCACGAGTTTAAAGACCCACCATTGTTAACTTAACGGGCACGTGCTGAATTCCGTCCGAAAATTGATCAGAATAACTAAATATGTCAAAAGGTTGTTAATCATGGTATGAAATGTATTTTTTCGAAAAGTTTGGTATCAAATGTGTTTTTTGGACTAAAGCTTGGTATCAAAAGTATTTTTTCATCGTTCATTGAAAATCAGAACATAAGCACAAAAGCATTGAAAACTATTAACATACAATCCAAAACCTCAAGTGTGAATGTTCAGTTATTAAGGAAAAAAAGACACTGAATGGTAAATCAGATAAAGCCTTCGACATTCTGGGTCAATTTTTACGAATCTTTGGATCAAAATTCATTATTGTTTAGCATCAAGAATGAATAATCTCAATTAATATTACCATCATAAGGAGCTTTGCGAAGAGTGCAGTTCCAACCACAGTAAGGATCATTGGCATAGTTGCTGTGTCAAGGAAAGATCTTGATTCAGGAACTTCCACAAAAAGTTTATTTTTCTTGGGATTTCTTTTTTTCTGATTCTTTTTAATTTCGGCAATCTTCTTCTTCAAGGTGTCACTAGGGCCGTCATGGGACATTGTGTGTACCTGCCTATAAATTCGCGATAACGTCTGACGAATCCCATACATTTTTCACCAAGGAAGTCGGGTTTTATATCGCCTTATGCTTACTGTAATCAATGAGGAAAAAGGAATACATATAGCACTGTTAACATTTCATCGAACAGTTTGTGTACAGTTCAAAGACCTGACTCATATGAAATTAGGAACAAATCTATTAGAAGAGAATAGAATCTTCGTTGCACGTCACAAATACACAAAAATTAAAATATGCTGTAGAGATGAAGAAAAAAAGGGCTTACATCTCTTGCGGCTTGCGCCATTAATCATCAAAATATATTTATATTGAACAAAATGCGAAAAGAAAAGAGAATGGAAGAAAAGCTAAAAAAGCAAAAAAAAAAAAAAAACGAAATGCGGTGAACGTGGATCGAACACGTGACCTTCAGATCTTCAGTCTGACGCTTTCCCAACTGAGCTATCCCCGCATTGTTGCTAAGGAGGTGAAGATTATAAAACTTATAAGAAACCAAAATAGCATTTAAATCGAAACTTAATTTATATATGTTCAAGAAAATAAACTAGTTCATTCATAATTATCTACTTCCATGAAGTAATCCATCATTAATGTTGGACACAGACCCTAATTAGTAACTATGAGCACAACCTATATAGTTATACACGAATTTAATTAAATACACCAAACAGAGTAAAGTTGTGCAGGTCTTTGTGGGTTAATATGAAAGTAATTTGACTGGGTTTGGTCTCGGTTTGGTTTCGAAAAGTGGTTTCAGAGGTTTCGGCGAAACCGTTGAAACTCGATTTGGATAATGGTTTCAATGGAATATTGATATGGTAAAATATTATTAAATAATAGTTAGTGGGTTTTGAAAATTTGAGATTTGATTTGGATGGTGGTTTAGTTGTAGGGGTTTGGAGAAGAAAAGTAGGTAGTAGGTGTCAAATCAATAACTTTATAGAATTTGAAATATAATATTTTATTGTGTAATGATTGAGATAATGAGTAATTATATTGTAATGATTGAGAATTAATTGTAATTATTTAGATATGATTGTGATATTAATTTAGATGATGATGAACAATTATTTATGCTATGATTAGTTTTACATGTTTCCATATGAAAATTGTTAAATTTCAAATTATTGTTTAATTAAGGCAAAGTTGCAAAAATCGTTCCAAACTAATCACTAATTTTGGATTTTCGTCCCAAATTATATCAACTTGACGAATTTCATCCCTTAATTTAATATTTTTTTGGAATATCGTCCCACCATTAATTATGAGACGAAAATTGCGTTTGTCCGTTAAATTACCAGATGGCTGCTTACGTGTCATGACATGGTAAATTTTAACATGAATAATTATATAAGATTGCAGAATTCATCCCAAACTAATTACAAAATTGAACCGTCATTTTCATTAAATTAGAAATTTAATATTGGGACTAGATTCATACAAAATGGTAAATTGCGGGACGAAATTCGGCGAGTTGATATAGTTTGGGACGAAAAATCAAAATTAGTAATTAGTTTGGGACGATATTATAGTGATGATTGAGAAGTGGTTGTAATTATTTTATTGTGATTATTATAATAATTTATGTTATAATAAGTAGAATGTAAATTTAATGAAAAAATTAATTGTAAAAAAATACGTTGTTTAATTACGGAAAATAGAAAATTTGTCAGTGACAATCTGTTGTTTAATTTGTTTAATACGTTGTCTAATTAATAACAAAAGAAAAAAAAAAGAGAAAATGAAAAGCAAATCAAGAAAAGCAAAAAAAAAAAAAAATTTAGACAAAAGCGCTGACAATTTGTCAGTGACTGTCTTTTCATGAGCAGGGAGTGAGGCTTGGGCTGGTTTCGACATTGGGCCGAAACCAGGGTCTGGGCCGAAATCAATTGCGACTTGTAGCCAAACCAGATCCATATTAGGCCTGTATGACCTCGAATATATAACTATGCAACATTATTTTAGTAGATAAACAAAATTACCTAGAATTTAGTTTAAGGTAGTGGAGAAGTAGTCGTGTCTTTTAGTTATCTGTATCGGAGTATTTTTATATTAAAAGTAAAATATAATGCCTACTAAAGGTTGTATGTCCCTTTCGTTAATATACATTGCAATATTTGTTTAGATGAAAAGGTATGGTAAAGAACAAACAAATTAAAGTTGATTACAATTAAAATTGAAAGTGAGGCAAAAATTCAATTTTCATACCATAGAATAAGCCAAAGTCCATTTTTTATACCAATCGATCGAAAATCATACTTCTGTTTCAAGTCAACTTAACGGACACGTGGCACTTCCGTAAAAAAATAGACAAAGTTAATACCAAAATTGAAGGATATTTTTTCACATTTCCTTTCTCCGTTAATTTTTTGGGGGGTAAATATTGTTATATGGCTGGAAAATTCTTGACGAAAGCTTTCTAATGGTACAAGCTTCAGTTCATGAAACGCGATAAATAATCTGTAGAAATTTAACAAAGTTTTGGGATTTTAATCAATATTAAATTATACCTCATAATCTACAAGGAATCATGCCATAATAACTTTCAGATATGAAATGGGACACATAAGCATGCTATGGTAATTTTATTTAGAATAATTTTAAGCATACCAAAAATCACATTTAAAGCTCAAACAAACATGAAAAAAATCCTTCAATTTTGGTATTAAATATGTCTTTTTTGAAGGTTTGGTACCAAAAGTCTAAAGTAGATAAAAGTTTGTTACGAAAAATGCAATTTCCTTATTTAAATAATTACATATTATTATAATATCAATTACTTATGTTTGAAAATTTGAATGATATTTACTTATGATTATGGTGTTTTTTGTAATTTAAAATTAGTGAAATAAACATCATTACTAAACACAAAATGGGCCGGTTCGAATGATATTTTTGCATTTAGTTCAAATATCTCAATAGGAAAAATCCACAAACCAATTAAAATCAGGACATATATATAAGCACATGAAATAAAATAGATTAATGATCACATAAACACCAAAACATCAAGTGGTCAATTCTAACAATCTTTGGATCAAAATTCGTTATTGTTTAGCATAAAGGTAAGATCTTGATTCAGGAACCTTCACAAAAAAATTTATTTTTCTTGGAAATATTCAGATCGGGTTTGGTCGAACCCAAAGTAATTACATGGCAAATGCAATAAACTTGCTTTGGGATTTGATGTAACTCCTAGGAGAGTGACCAATCATAAAACAGCAAGTGCAATAATGCTTGTACAAGAATTTTCCATTTTTCTTGGGATTTCTTTTTTTCTGATTCTTTTTTATTTCGGCAATCTTCCTCTTCAAGGTGTCACTAGGGCCGTCATGGGACATTGTGTGAACCTACCTACACAATCGCGACAACGTCTGACGAATCCCATACATTTTTGGCCAAGGAAATCGGGTTTTCCCTTTTTCAAGGTGAATCATAAAGATTAATTAACATTTCATCAAACAGTTTGTGTACACTACAAAGATTTGGCTCGTATGAAGTTAGAAACTTGATATATTAGAAGAGAATAGAATTTTGGTTGCACGTCATAAATACATAAAAAATAAATATGCTGGAGAAAAAACATAAACAAATAAAGAGCTTACCTCTCTTGCACCAATCATCAAAACTATTTGTATTTGAATTTGGGAATGGGCGTGTGTGTGTGCGTGAACAAAATGCGAAAACAGAATGGTAGAGAAGGTAAAATAAAAAAGAAAATGCGGTGAACGTGGATCGAACACGTGACCTTCAGATCTTCAGTCTGACGCTCTCCCAACTGAGCTATACCCGCATTATTGATAAGAAGGTGAAGATTATAATATTTATATAAAAGAATTATAATCTAAAAACAATCAAAACTTGATTTATATATGTTCAAGAAAAGAAACTAGTTTATTTAATAATTGTATATTTATATTTCACCCTTTTATTTAATAATTGTATATTTATATTTCACCCTTTTTTTATTTAATAATATGATATCTATATATTATATCTAATATTATTAATGATATATAAAAAAAGATCATTTCTTCTTCCTCCTCTTACCCCACCCACCCAATAGGCCAATAGAACCCAAACCGTCGATGGCCTAACTACGTTGGTCCAAGGCATGGGTTGTGAATCTAGTCTTCACAACCCAAGCCATGGTGGGGTTGGGGGTACCAGGAGGAAGATTTTTTATTTTAAATTTAAGGTATTTTGGTAAGATTTCAATTTAAATTGATGAAAATTGAATTTCGGTCTTGTAAAACGCGAGTGAGAGGCACTCTCAATTAAATTGGATGAGAAAGAGATTTTGTGCAAACGTTTTGACAAAATAAGAGGATTTTATGCAATAAAATAACACATGAGTGTTTTTTACATATTTACAAAATTATAAGTGAATATCATGCTTTTTACCCGACCAATAACAAATGTGAAAAGAAGTCCAAATATACATGTATACAATTTTATTCAATGTTAAGCCGTTATCCTTTTGACAAATGGATTAGTTGAGTGTCTAAACTTTGTTGCACTAATTTAGAATCTCCAATCAAGTATTTCCATTATTGTATTCTATCTTTAAATACTAGATATTTTACATTTTTTCAACAATGAAGATATATAACGGTCATGGTACACAATTGAATGTGAAAAATGTCAAGGACTTTAACTTGTGCATCATATGTTGTTTCAATACACGTGGTTTGGCCAACTTGAGAGAATCAAACATGATCATCACATGCCTAGACCAAAGTCATGATATTTTATTGATGTGCCCAATTTGCAATTTTCATATTGACAGCTTTTGTGATGTGGGCATGTACTGTCAAAATGTGATGCTTGGAGCCTTGGACTAGTTTAAAGCTCAAGTATTTGAATTCCACCATTAAATTTAACTTAGAATTATAAATTTTATCATAGAAATATACACTAGGTCCTATTATTCGCATCATAGTCTAGGTTACGACTTATCGTCGCAGTATGATAACAAGTGTAAAGTCTAAACACCGCGTCTGAACTATTTAAATTGCACCGTTGTTATGATCTATAGTTTTTGGTATGGCATACGCTAGATCCGATGATTCGTATGAGAGTTAAGGTCACATGTTCGACTCCGAGCAAGAACAATAGTTTGGGGAAAGACAATTAACTTGAGTATGACAATAATTGCCCCCAATGTGTGGGCTTGGACAGTCGAAATCTGATATTCGAACTATTGTGAAAGTTTAACCATTTGAAATGTACCGTCGTTAATAAATATATTTTTTGGCATAGCGACATACACTTGATCCTAGAAATCGTATCAAAGTTAGGATCATAGGTTCGACTTCAAGTTGAGGCAATTGCAAGGTAGGAGACTGTTAGCTTGAACATGACAACAATTACCCTCACTCGTTGCAAAGACCTGGGTGGGGGTCTACATAATCAGAACGTGACACTTGCACCGATGAGCGAAAGTCTTTCTTTTAATGAATGACTGGTGTGAAGTTTAAAGATTTAAGTAGCACTATTGATATAAGCTATAATTTTGAGTACATTGGCAATTACACAACATAACATATGCATAGACTTTGTAGTCATTCTGCCAAAGAGATTCCTAATTGTCACCAAACATTTATCTTTCACGTTTAGTCAGCTGAAACAGATAGGCATAGCCCACTTGCAAAATATTTCTCCAAATAAGAAATCCCATGCTTCTCTTTTGAGCTTCTCACCCATTTTTCGTGTTCTTTTCAAGTTTTCCGCTGCGAATTTACTTAATTTGAGTCGAACAAACACTTTGTTCAATTTTCATGAGAAATTTTATATTTTTGTTTGACTTGATTTGATTTTTATAGAAACCTAGCTTGAATAAATTCTAATTGAGATTAAAAAAACTCATGGAACTCGTAAAGTATGTTGTCAATGGGACGAATATCACTTTGAAATCGATCAGAATCCGATTCGATTTATTAGGATGTTTATCCGATTAGAGTTCCGATGGATTATAAAAATTCCTAACCCGAAATACGTGGAGTGAATATATATGGATCTAGACTAATCCGTTCCGTTAAAGATCCATATCTGAAATTAATTGAAAAAATTATATATATATATACTTAATGTTTCATTAAGAGAAATAACTCATCCATAATCCAATTTTTTTGCTTATGCATATTTATATCTAACACAACATGTCATTAAAAAAAATCTCTTACAACATGAATTGATTTTGATATATTCATATCAATACCATTATTTTTCAAAGTAATATGTTAAAAATCATTTGAACCATATGATAAATGTGTCGAGCTTTGATCTTTTCTATATTGAAGTCGAGTGATTTATGTGAAAAAATTTGAACAAGTGAGCTAAATTAAATTAAAGTATAACATAAACAAACTTATTTAAAAAAAAAAAATGAGTGAATTTTGGAACTAAATATTTTATTTGATTCGAAAAAATATCAATGTGATATATTTGTTGGCACGATATTATGAATATACGAAATTAGATATATGACCCTGTCAATCAACCTCACAAAAAACAGTGAAAATTTATTGCAATATAGTTCGGCGCTATTTAAGGCTGTGCTTTGCATTCAACTTTCATCACAAAATAAACCTATTACAATAATGTTTAATCATCTTGAATTCTTGATTATCTCTATCTTCCTATCTTCCAAAAGAAAAATGGCTTTAGAATCATTTACTTTGTCCCAATTTTCAGTCACCATAGATGAATTTGAAGGGATAGAAATTATGGACTTTGATCCAAACACACTTAGTGAACTACTTTACGAGCCCGAGGAAGAAGTGGCAGCGACCGATCTATGCTCCCCAATGGATGGCTACTGGCCGTGCCTTGGTTGTATCGACCCAGACGTGTCGAATATCGACTGGCTTGATATGGTTGAAGATGTTACACCATGCAACGATGTGGGAGTATGGTATGAAGGAACGTGCATTGAAGGACTCAATGGAATTTTTGAAATGGAGAAGTATTATCCATTGAATTTTCCCCATTTTGAGATTATGTCTGATGAATTTGGATATATTAGCTTGTGGCAAGAGAATTAAGGGCAATTCTAGTCCAAATCGGGTCTGGTCAAATAAAATTATTCACATTATGATTATGATACACTTCTTTGAGAATAGATGATACCCAATCAATCCAAAATTAAGTGTATTGTACTGCACTGTAATTGAATTGGTTTGACCAAATCAAATTTGAGCTACAATTTCTCGAAAATTACACATATGTATTACTAATTTATATGTTAATGGAAAATGCCAATATGATAGTCCAATATTGTACATCCCACTTACAACCCAATTCAATTGACTAGAGAAAGTTTGTTGTGTGAAAATAGTGTGGGCAACTTGTGTAACCGATTTCAAAGTTTCTATAGCAATTTTCACCACCAGAAATCTTAAATAATATATTTGAGTCCACTTATAATTGGCTGAAGAAATTTTGCTTTGTGAAAATAGTTTGGACAACTTGTTTTATATGTTAATACGTGTCTACTGCAATTTTCACCCCCCACAACATTTTGTTTTGTTGAAATCTCCTGTAATTTTCACCCCCACAATTTCTTTAACGTACTCAAAGTGTATTTTTCTATTAAACATGTATGTATATTTACCCCTAAATTTGATTTTGTTATTATGTTATATCCTACATTTCGACTTCATTTCTATAATTTACAAATGGGATTATTGCATTTTTGGTGCCACAAATATAGCTCACTGGCGTTTCTACCCCGTAACCTTTCGGGCTGGCACATTTGGTGCCACAACTTCAACATTAGTGGCAATTTTGGTGCCAATTGAGGCCCAATTTCAAAATTGGCCCGAAATTCCCCCATGTGCGGGCCATGTGACATGAAAATTGAAGATTTTGATCATTCAATGTCTTTTTTTTATTAAAAATAAAATAAAAATATTTCCATCCATCAAAAACTAGGCTACTTGGATGTTTTTATTTGGGGAAGAAGAATAAGGCGGTAAAAATTTAATTAAGGGAATGTTTGATGAATTTTGTAGGAAATGTTAGGATTTTGAATTTTGATTTTTTTTTTAATGAAAAAGACGTCGAATCCTCATTTTTCATGTCACATGGCCCGCACATGGTGGAATTTCGGGCTAATTTTGAAATTGGGCCTCAATTGGCACCAAAATTGCCACTGATGTTGAAGTTGTGGCACCAAATGTGCCAGCCCGAAAAGTTATGGGGTAGAAACGCCAGTAGGCTATAGTTGTGGCACCAAAAATGCAATAATCCCATTTACAAATGGTAAAAATTCTTACAATTGAAAGTGAACTTGTATCATATTCACTGTCTCATAGCTTAAGAAGTTCTATTGACATTTCGACCTCGACTATAAACTAAAAATGTAAACACACATAAAAAATATTTACTAATAAATTTGATTTTCAACTCATGTCCACACGATTACAATTCATTTAACTTCGACTCATTTAAGATTTATGGTAAATCCAATCTCAATTTTAAATTCAATAAAAAAGAATTAAACTTGGAAATTTATTGCTCAATTACTCGAAGATGATGTTATTATATTTCTGTATTACAAAGAACTTGTATTTGAAAAAGATTATTACGTCAAGTATATATATATATATAGAAATAATTAACTTGAACCTGCAAACCCACTACTTCCTATAATTTAGGTTAGGCTGTTAACGCTTAATTAATTAGGCTCTAAGACTAGTGCTATCAATAATGAATGCCTGACGATTGAATTAGCATCTTCAAAGGCAAGACGCGAAGAATTAATGACACAAATTAAATTAAGAGAGACTG